GGGTTGGGCTGCAGAATATTAACAATAATAGTAATGCTATTACAAATGATAATACTAGTACAAATAGTATTACTAGTAGATATAGTATTACCAGTAGATATAGTATTACTAGTAGAAATAGTATTACTAGTATAAATGAGGCGGCGATATAACGGTTAGCGGTTGGTGTATCTGACTGTTATACCAAAGTTCGCGGGTTCAGACCCGATCGAAGCGAAATCCTTCGTACGCCTTCCTTCGGAGGGGAAGCAAAGCCGGCGGTCCCATGTTAGTGGATTTACTGCATGTAAAAATTCCTTAAGCCCAAATGAAGCTTCTAAGCTAAATTCAAATTACCTGTTTCGTCGCCCAAGAAATACCTCCTTTCTCCGCTAGTTGGTGAAAGAAGCGGACCCAAATATGCGTGGTCAAACGCAAGAGCGGACCTGATGGCGTGAGCCTCGCCACGGAAAATGGGAATCAATATTAATTGAAGTTATTCAATTCAATGATGTTCGACCGTGCAAGGAATTGACTGGCCCTGCGGCGAATCGGATCCAAATCTTCCGGTATACGGATATCGTGGTAGTTCTACACTCTAATCGGTGTATTCCAAAACCTATTTGCGTTTCTTTGCCTCGATGTTTAATCGTGAATGTAGTACGGTAATTTGAACCATTTTTATTAGTTACAAACATCTTTTCTTAAGTGCAATCATCTAACTAAAAATGAAAGCAAACATTCGAGAACTTGAACAAATAGGCTTGGAATTTTGTTTTAACATTTGAATATATATTTTCGCTGAAATACCCAGGTGTCGCAGTTTCGTCAGCAGCAAATAATTTATTGATTTCCGCAATTCATAGACTGATTGATAAATGTGCTTTTCTTTACTTTCTGAATGAATTCCAGAAGAAGCAGACTCGATTGCATCGATACTCATGAATTAGTCGGTGATGAAAGCTGTGCGAGATACGAATATTGTGAAAGGAGAATGTCTGGTTGCTAGCAGTGTTGTGCATTCATGTGAATGCATTGGAATTTCTTTCCATTATGTAACATGGTTTCCAATTTCTTTTCTTTATGTAATGCGTTTGTAAAGCTCCTTTTTCTGATGGCAATTCAAAATTTGCAAATTAAAATAAATTTATTTTTGTTGCAGGTATGTACACCTGGATGTGAATAGACACACGATCTCCATTTACGAGAGCCGCATATCGAAGAATGCTGTAAGTGATCAGACTTTTATCAAATACCGTGCAACGAGCATAAGATTGATAAGATTTCCGATATTCGTCAGGCCTAAGAGGTGAAACGAGGTATTGTTGTGAGACCACTTCTTGTTCGTCGCAGGGATCGGATTTAAAATGCTGTTCTAATGCTGTTCGGCTGTTCTGTTCAGGAATTGCCGCTGAACAAGGGGTCTACCGGTTGTGTAGGTGATAGTCAGCATTACCGCTGTCTCTGCGGCGTCTCCGATCGAGAGATGCTAGTGTTCGAATTTCGGCGTTGGCGGATTTATCGATACTATGTCTAGGTCGAATTCACCCACTGCGTGGAGGAAAATTCGAGCTGCTCTGATCGGTAGTTTCCCTAGGTTTCTCCGATCAATTTGAAACAAATGCAGACGCAGACCCTGACACATAGGCCGCCAAGGATCGCAGGCTATCTTTCCTTCCTCTCTCTCCTTTTTCACACACACACACGCACACATTTACATGGAACTATAGGACCACGCATGTCGGAAGCTTAGAGCTTATCTAGGCTGGGTGGTGCCTCGCTAGGGGAGATGGCTGGAGGGGAAAATCCCCTGCCTTCCGATGTGTACGTCGGTGCCGAACCTCAGCATCCAGCGGGGAAGGAGTATTCTCAACGTGAACACTACCAGTAAACAAATCAGTTGACATGCCAGGAATCAATCATTCCAATCAATAAATTAGTCAACCAACAATAGGGTCTTAAGGCTTCTCCCAGTTCCCTTGACTCTCATTCCGCCATTGCTCCCTCTTCATTCATTTCATTAACTACCGCCCAGTTCTTCTCAGTCACCTCAGTTTCCACGCAGAATACAATATTGAAAGTTGTTTTGTGAGCTTAGTGAATGGTGACCGTGATTTTTATAATATAGCCCCGAACAAATAACGTTTCCAGAGAAGAGAAATTCGAAAATTAAGAATAAGAAGGCAGTCCTTCCTAGATTGCGCGAGATTTTTCTCCAAAATGCATGTCAATGTCCCCTACACATATAGTAGGTGGATAATTTTCTTAGTATTAAAGCTTGTGCTCATTCATAAACTCGCCATGAAGAACTACCTTCACTCAAGGGTTTCGCTTAATACCGTGTTGCCCAACCTTGTATGCCTCCTTGTAAGGTGAAGTCACAAGCATACGTATTAAGGTGGAGCGACGCTCTTAGCTTTCAACGATCTGCAAACCCAATATCCTGCCCTACTTGGCGTTCACGTATTGATGTTCTGACACACACATATTTCGACACCAATTTCAGCCGTAAGTTGTGACTGAAGGAAATACAAATTGTTCGGTGAGTGGCGTCCGTGTACTTCTTTTCCCTCCACCTTTCGACACCGTTTTCGGTCGTGCAGCACGGAAGCGCCGCTTTCGCAGGGCCTACGCAGGACCCTGAGAGCAGCGCGCGAGGGTCTAGCCCTGCGGGCGATCACACGCTCGATTCTGAATGTTCAAGGCACTGCAGTGCTTTTGACCGGTAGGACCCAGGTTCCAGCCCGACGATGGCACTACCTACGTAGCTAGGTTGAGTTGTGTCGCTGTCTCGAGGAGAATACTGGCAGCCGGCTGCTGTGATTGATAGTTTTCCGTGATTCCTCCGATCATCGCCAGGCGAATGCCGAAGCAGTACCTAGCAAACGGGCCATGGACCGCGCGATTTTTCCTTCCCCTTCCTTGTTCTAACTTCAGCCCTTACGTACTTACGTGCAGTACACTACTACACTTGCCGAGAGACCGGTCATGAGCTGAAATCTTGTCCCGGCTGGTGGGAAATATCTGAAAAAATCTGTTAGCCGACGATACGCGGACGATAGTCGAATCTCACCATTATCATAGGGGAAGATTACACATTATAATCTCACCATAGGGGAAGATCATCGCTACCTCCAGAGGAAAAAACACGCTCTACACTTACGGGAATAATGACCGTTAATAGCCGTTAACGCGCCCGTTAATTACTAATTAATCAATCAAAAAAATCCATATTCAAAGGTTTTCTTTTTCATATTCTTATTATTTCTCGATGGAGTACACACAGTTCAATTTTAATAAACTTAACACACGGGTGTTTGACGTACCTTACCATTTTAAATTAAATTAGCTTTAATCGATTTATTTTGGGCCATATTACGCATTTCCAGAGATTGTTGACCCTAGTATATAAATAATAGTTAGAAAGCATGAAAAGGGCATCTATTTTATGTGATGAGATTTTGCCAAGGCCAGAAACTGCTGGGGATACGTGGCAGGCTAGTGTTGACATTATGAGCTAGATAGGCAATGACTATTAATATAGTTAATATCCATGGGTTTTTAATTTAGATCTCTGTAATAGTTGTCCAAGAGTAGTGCCCACAAGTCGTTCACAGCGAATAAAGAAACTAAGATTTTATATACTTTAAAAAGACGTTATGTCAATCAAAATTTCGTAGAAATAGTTGTAGGTTCTGGGTTTCTTGAATTTCCATTTAATAAGCTTCGCTGGAAACAATATTTTTCAAAGATCTTAAAAGAGCATAGTTGCATTGAATGTTGGGTATACGTAACGTGCCATCAGATTACAAATAGCTTTTGACTGCCTTGGACTACTAGTACTGTTTTAACTTTAACATTAACTTTATTGTCTTCTCTTATCCGACAGCAGCGCTTGGCAATACAAGTGATGAGACAAGGCAGCTAAAGGAGCATTTGCACCTATGTTCGAATTCCATCGTGGGCAGTTTTATTTGTGAATTGAAAGACATAGAAATTCAAATAGTACTATCATATTATGTGTCCATTACAAACGATACAATAAGGTATGTGCTGTTGTACCACAACTAGTTTTCAGAAGATCGTAGATGCGTTTAGGATTAAAGTCTAAGTAAGTGCTATTATATGACCTTTTTTTCTTTATATCACAGACGAGGAGTCTGAATAAATATTGAAATGAGAAACTGTCTCACCCCATCCTTATTCAAATTTCTTAATCGTTATATGAAACGACATAGTATCAGAAACCTGTCAGTGTTACAATATTAAATGATATATAACATTTCATAAAAAACAGTGTGGGTGTTGTTTCGATTTCATTGAATTCTTTTTTGTAACAATGGTTTTGACACATTTTGTATTGCAAAATGTTTTAATAATAATATTCAGCGACCTGAAGAACAAACACAATTACCCCCACATTATTGAACTTCGAACGGCCCTACGTATTGAAAGGCCATGTGATACGACCGATCCGCAAGGAGACAGTAGCTTTCCGAGAAGACGAGAGACTGCGGATTTTGGGGCGGGAGATTCGACGCGCCGACCCGTATTTAAGTATTACTTTTCTCATCCCCCAAACACGCTTCGAACCGCATTCGAAACTTTAAAATAGTGTTCTTCCCAACAGAAAAACCTTATCAGAGAAACATTATTCCACAAATAACATTTCATACATAACTCACGTGTAATTATATTTTGTGTCAACTTTATTGTCTTATCTCTTTCTATCCTCTATTTTAAAATTGTCTCTCAGATTTCTAAAAATGTCTTAAAAAAATCAGATTAAACGTAATTAAAAAACTTCTAACAACAACCACCTGAAATTGAAATGCCGATCGCAGCTGTTCCACGAGGCCGGCGACCGGGCGACGGCCGCGTGGGCGGGGCGGGGAGAGGTCGAGGGACTGTGCAGGCGGCGCCGGAGAGGCCACGGGCAGCTGTTCAGCATGGACGAAAGCAGGAAAAAGCACATGACTTTCCACGCTTTTTTTTAATATTCCAAGCTGTTTGTTTACGTTTTTGGAGAACAGGATTGGATTACACTGTAACCGTTACCTAGGAAATGGTGATGTATAGTAGTTACAGACATTTCCAAATTCGGTAAATTTGGAATAATTGATGTAAAAGGTTTTACTCTGAGTAATGTATTCAAATTACAATTAAAACTTAAAATTCAAATTTGATGTTCAAATTTAGTCTACAGATGGGTCGAATATACGGCGGATAGAAAGCAGAAAATGTAAATATCGTAAATCAACACAACGGAACAGAAATATTTGTAGGTGTTAAGTCTGGAGTATACTTACCCTGAACTGTTTCTATGTTGATAATATTTCCTGAAATTATTACGGAAATAAAAAGAGAATATTTAATTCTGATTTTAAAAAAGTATGTACTTCCTGTGAATGACCATTCAAAAACCAACGAGCACACCAAATCACATTCTTTAGAGATTGTTTTTAAATCCTGAAATTCAGAGGCGGTTTTTTGTGCAATATTTTTTGGGTTGAAGGGTATTCCAAATATCGCATTTAAACAAGCCGCAAATTCTTCTCGAAGTGAATTCCAGAATCTTCAAATCCACCGGGTGCAAGAAGGCATTTTTTCACGAGGTGAAACCTCGGCCGGGGAAGGGGGTAGAATTAAGAATGGACCAGAGAAACGAAGTCCGCTTTTACTCACGCAGCACACTCTGAATACTTAGAAATGCTCCGGAACTTTTTCATTTTTTTAAATTTTAATTCTGATTATTAGGATTTGTCTTCCTGGATTTAAACATTCGAAATGCGTAAATCGTAAAAAATGAAATCTTGATTTCGATACGGTCCCTAATATAAATAGTGTAATGTTTTTCAGCAGTGAACGTTAAAGTTAAGTTCAGTTAAACATTCTCTAGGGGAGAACGCTCCCCATCAATTCGCACCCTACGAAGACTGCAGTGACTGACAACTGGTTATTAAGACTAGTTGAGGCTATTGCGACCCGCCGCACTTCGTTCATCCGGAGACTGCGAGGAGGGAGTGGGAGGGCGGCGCGGTCACTTTCCTGCGGTCGATGGCCGGCGCAGCACGCGGTGCCCAAGGCGCGCGTGGCCCCCGCCCGCGCCCGCAAGAACCGCGCGCCGCACCCGGCGTCGCCGCCCCGCTTTGCTGCTCCCCTTTGCTGCCCTGCTTACCAACGCCAGCTCTACCTGCCGCAGCCCCCCACCGCAACCCGCCGGCCCCGTCCGCCTCCCGTCGTCCCACCCTTTCCCAGCGCGTCCCCTGCCCGGTCCCCGTACCCGCTCGCCGCTGCCACCACGCTACCGCTGCCACCGACCGCTCACCGCCTGCACCGCTCCGCTCCCCGTGCCACCCCGCGCCGCTGCACCCCGCCCCGCTGCCACCTCCGCCCTCCGCTTGCCACCTTCGAGAAATGTAAAACTGGGCTCTCGTAGTGAGTTCCCTAAAGCGGGTGGGAACAATGTTCACAACCAAACAAGTTTAAAAGAATTCCTGCTTACCAAGAAATGTTGTGTCAATGGTCCTTCACTGTCATCACTGACACGCAAGCCACGTCGTTAACTTTCTTGAACACAAAGCCAGATCTGTCGTTTAACCGTTGAATACCGCGTCCGCCACTCGCTGCCTCGGCTAGACACACCGCAATTAAAGCTGTATAAAAGAACAAGGAATAGGGATTGTTAACGCTAATAGAAATCGTTTTAAATAACAAAAGACAAAAGAGAAATGCAGTGTCCCCCCGTGAGACACCGTATGGGAGAAAAGTGCAAACATTAAAGACAACATGTTGACGAACTCACCAGCTTGCCGACGCGTTTTCTAAAACATATTCAATAGAGAAATTATTTAACTGCTCCCTCAGAACATTATCACATAAACGCTTAGCTTGAAAATGCATATTGTCCTAACCTAATACTTATAATGTTAACTTCTTATATTTCGCACGGGAGGCACAGGCGTCACTGTCATTTCAGAACACACGCGTAGAAAATGTTTCTGTTTCTGTTGTAGTGCGGTATAAAAACCCTAGGGATTTTCCGTGGTTGTGGGCTTGCTGGGGAACGTTGGATTCATACGGAGACAAGATGTTTTCTGCGAAGTAAATTGTAGACACCCGGCACACTCTGTCCTCTTCTATCAGCGATTTGTGGCACGAAAAGATCCAGTCAGCCCCTAAGCTAGCCCAAACCAACATTTTTTTCGTTATGTCCTTCATCGGTCGTAAACGTTTCAGAGCCTGCAAGGAAAAAGTAGTTTGAGAATGTATTGACAGACTGTCATCAGCTCACGCACACCGCATTTGGACACGCGACAACTATTTTATTGTCTTTTACGTGTTTTTAATTTTGTTTTTCTCAAAGAATGGACGAATGTAGTATGTATCATTCTTATCTAAATACCTTGAACTATACAAGCCCACGCTGCACACGTCGAGACTCACGCGTGCACTATACTTTTCTCTTCGAACTTCCTTTGCGTCCCATTATTGCTTCCCTTCTCTTGCCATCGCTGGCCTTCTATCAGTGCACGAAACGTAAATGCCAATTAATTTTCAAAAACTCAGACTTCGCGCTGCCACCAACTAAATTCGACAAGAATCTGCTCCGCTATATGCCGTGTACACAACATACTTTTTTTTTAAGGAATGTTTGGCAGCGGAAGTCAAGAGATGAAGGGGAATGCGCGTCAGTGAAGAGGGATTAAAACAATCCCGCTCACCTGCTGCAACACTTCTTGTGTCGAGGTTGAAAAATTATTATCGTTACACAAGAGATTTTATTTAGATAAATTAATATTTTTAAATCGCCAGTCCTTTTAAGCTGTTCAGCAATTGCACATTCCAGCGCCCAATGATCCCGCTGATTCTATATACACAATAAAAAAAGTGGATTCAAATCTCGTCTATTTTTTTTCCTTAACCATCCCGCCGCCAAGTCTGCTACTAGCACACATTGTTCAGCAATAATATTCCTTTTCTTTAATGCATGAACTTTTTAATATGAGGTTTCCCAGTGATAACTTGTTTGACTATTATCAAGTCCTGTGCAAAAAGCAACTAATTGGCACGATCAGCTTCAGAGGTGTCCCGTTGGTTATTTCGGTGAGCGCGCACCGCGCCTGCCTCTAACGCTGATTAAGTCTCCTCACACGACTCCTTCGAGCCGCGGAAGCGCCGTGACTTACCTTCGTGAAAAGACCCCCGGTTCAATCTTTTGTGTACTACATGTAACATCTGCCCAAGCCTATCACAACCTCCTCCTTCTAGAGAGACACGTTCTTTCTACGGCCGTTTCTCGAGCGGTAGAGTGAGCGCAGAGGAGTAGCAGCCACGCGAGTCACTATCGCGCCATGTACATACCCCCGCTGCAATCTCACGAAGATTGTCACTACCGATGAGCAACCGAGCATTTCTTCTGCGCACAAAATCGTGAGCACACCGCATCCGAGACGACCGTAAATGGATAAGAAAGTTCTAATTAAAATCTATGCTGCAATCGTCCTAAGGATATAAATATGACTGTTCCTCCTTTTCTACATTCGTATCGAGAACCACGAGAAAGATAGCAAACAGCGTAATGAGCGCGCGAACCAAAGTTGCTCTATTCTGAATTACACATACAACAAAGTTTTCCGTATCGTGTGATATACAAAAAAACGAAAAAGAAGTATTTTCAAAAGGCAAAGCAATAATGACTAATAGAGTGCATAATGAATGCAACACTCTATTTTTTAATTAGAAATTGGACACAATATTCGATATCGTCTCTACGCCACTACCACAGACGCCCGCAAAGAAATTGGATCCTGAAGAATGATTCGCCAGAATATTCAAGCCGCATTTGTACAATTATGAATGGTGGTATTTACCCCCATATCTGACCCTATTCAAACCATCAGCCGAATCATCACCTATCACACACTCGCTATATAACCAATATGCACGCACCAACCATCACACATCACCGTTCTATTTGGTGTTAGTATGCTCAGCTAAAGAAATATTCATATTTTTCCATCAAACCACTAGAAATAGATGCATTTTTTAAATTTTTAGTTGGCATTTCAATACTTCGAACATTGTACCATCAAACTATCACCATTAAGAGAGAACAGCGCTTGGGGGAGCACACAACATTTAAGTATTCTCTAAACATGCAACGACGCACCCCGTAACAGAGCAAGACTTCTTGAGAGAGCCCACGGATGCCCTTTCGCCACGAATGTTCACTTCTTGCCCCTTCCCTGAACAGGCGCGCACCGCGAGCTCAGTGGGCATTTCTAGCCGAGCCCGCAGCGGCACGCGGCAGCGTGCAGTCGGAGGAGCCGGCGGGAACGGCCGGGCGCGCGGAGCGGGCGACGAGCCAAAGGCGAACGCGGAGGGCGGCGGGGGGGCGAGGGGGGCGGAGGCGGTTGCGCGGCAAGAGTGGCGCACGCCGGCGGAGCGCGACGACAGAGCGCGCAGAGCCGCCGACGTCTGATTGGAGAGAGCGGTCTATGGCGCCGGTGTGCGAGACGCGGTGGCGTGCTCAGTGAGGCTGGCGGGGCGCGGCGCGGCTCGGCGGGTCGTGACCCAGCGATGGCTCGTTGCGCGGGGTCTTTCGTACCGGCGTGCCGCGCCTCCCTCAGCTGCCTGCGCAATATGGGGCATACTACAGCAGCGTGTGGTGGCTAGAGACGCGCGGGGTGACGCGATGGGCGGACGGCGGTGGGCCGACGTGGGTGTGCGTGCGCAGCTAGGGGGCCTAAGAAGGCCGTGGTGGGGCGCGGCGGTGGAAACGGCAGGAGTTCTGCCGGGGCGGCGGGGGTGTCTCTATCAGATGCCTCGGCGGGCGCGTGTGTGTGTGTAAATTTTTATCGATCGAGTAATTACGACGCCGGCGTCGGGGCGGGCGAGAGGCGGGGTGCGCTGTGTCAGCGATTCGAGATTTTGAATAGAGAGAGGCGGTGGCTGATAAAAGTCAGATGGTCGTAGTTACAGTCGTGCGGCTAAGGTTTTATGGTCGGTAGCGGGAGGTGGCGAACTGGAACAGCGGGGCAAAATTTTTCTCAGCAACCATTGTAGCTGAGATTTTTAATGATTTGCTGGATCTTTTTAATATCGTGATATAGCGAGAACAAATGTACATTTGACTTGAATGAGTCAATTGATTGAGTGATACTGAAGCAGCTATGCCGAGCTTTTTTTTTGAACGCATAAAAGACGAACAAAATTGCATAACGTAAAAATATAGT